GGACACCCTTAGTTGCTAGAGTAAGAGGTTGGAGAGCTGAGCAGGAGAAGGGGATAGAAGAGCCAACAGGGGGACCTGGGAAGGGGGCCTGGGAGAGGGGACTGGTGGGGTGGGTGAAAGAGGAGGCAAGGGAGAAGGAGGTCCCCCCAAGTCTCTCTCCTCCAGGTCCCCACCCAGGATATCAGCAAGGGAAGGCTTTGAAGGATCTTCCATGGCAAGGACAGTGCTGCCCAATGGGAAGGGAGGACCCAAGGGCTAGAGAACCCTGAGTCCCCATCCCAGCTTTGCCCTGAACTCACTGTGTGACCTCAGGCCAGTCACATCACCCCTCTGAGCCTGTTTGCTCATGTGAAAAGTAGGGACAATAGCAGCCCCTCCTCCTGGGGAAATGGGCTCCTTGGGGTTGGGCCTAGTGCGTGGTGGCATCAAAGACATGTCCCCATGGGTTTCATGAACAACCGCAGAGTCCTGGAGGAGGTCTGAGCAGTGCAGGGGCATAAGGGTCAAGCTTGGGGCACTCTGAGGCCTCAACAGGGGATCCAACAGGCCTAGACAGGGGCTTCCCAGGTGCATGAGTGTGCAGGACTCTCCAGGAGTGCACAGCAGGCCTGAAATAAAATCCAGGACTTAGACCAGGGGCTAAGGACAAAAAACTAGCTGAAGTCTGATTTCCACTCTGGCCACTGTGGACAGACCAGGGGCAGGTCAGTGCCCTCTTTGGCTTTCCCTTTACCCCATCCACAGATTTGAAGGAGCCTGGAGGGGGGCCACACTTCACTCAGGGTTGGGATCTGAGCGCTAGGCACTTCCTTGAATGCCCCATGGCATGGGGAGCTCACTGCCTCTCTTCTGGCTGCCTTCTCATCTCTGGGGCTCTGCTGGAAGCAAGTCCTACTGAGCCGGTTCTCATAGTGCCCCTTCCCTCTTGTTCATGATCGTGTGGGGACAGACATGAGGCCCTGCTGGGTAATGTGGCCTCTCGGAGCGTCAGTTCGCTCTGAAAAATGGGAGTGAGAGAATACAGGGTGGAAAAGGGCAGGGGGTTGCAATCTGCCCACCAGGAACAGCCAGGACCGTGGACAATGACCACTTGGAGGCCGAACTCCGGGCCAAGGCTTTGCCTCTTTCGCCCCCTGGTGGCCAGACGGGGCAGGGTATCCTCCAGACAGGAAGGGCAAATCAGAAATGCAAATGAGATGCAAATTAACCAGAACCCCCACAAGCCCACAGACTGGGGTGGTGGGGAGTCTGGCAGCCCAGAGTCCTGCTCAGCCCCCTTTGAAAGAGGAGAACTATTTGCCACTGGCTGAAGTTGTATCTAGGGACTGTGGGTGAGCCCACAGAGCCGGGGGAAGGTCTGGGGCATCCCATGACTGCCCCGCATTAGCTCCTAGCACCCCAGTCACTCAAGGCAGCTGCTGGGATATATGCAACTCTATTAAGCAGCCTGTCTCATGGGTCTGAGCCCTGGGGTCAGGAATGGCCTGTCTTGCTCACTGGGGCATCCCCGACTCACAGAGGGTGGTCAACCTTTGCTGGATAAATGGCCACACACAGGACAGATGGAAGGACGGTCAGATAATGTGATGTGCCTTCAGATTGAGTGAGGAGAGTGAGAATGACTCTGGAGGCCACACACCTCAGGTCCCAAAATGGGGCAGACCTGAAGCTCCTACTCCTATCCCAGGCTGAGCTGACAGTGGGGAGGCAGGACTGTGACCCTGAGGCCCCCCAGTATGTCCTAGAGGGGAGAGGGCTGATCCTTATTTCCTGGAAGTGGGAAGCTGTCATTCTTTGACATTCCTGTGTCCCTGACCCTGAGGGATCCCAGCCCCTCCCACCCATTGACAGACCTGATGCCCAGCAGGACCCTGACACCCCTAGGGCCCCAACCTTGGGCCAGCGCCAAGCAGTGGGCCTGGCACCCATCCTGTCCACACCCCAACCACTCTGTCCTCATCTTCCTAGTGCATTTTACTGGAACAAAGGATGCTGGGCCTAACACTGCGTTGATGCACAGCTGGCCTTGGAGGCGTACAAACTGTGGACACACGATCACCCAGGCTTGGAATTCACAGGGGTCAGCACGGCTCTTCTGCAGTCAGCCCCAGAAACACACTCAAAGCAATTTTGGCAAAAAAGGTAATTTAGGGGCTCATGAACTGAATAACAGATTGGCTAGTGTCCAGCAATTTTGGCAAAAAAGGTAATTTAGGGGCTCATGAACTGAATAACAGATTGGCTAGTGTCAGATACAGCTGGATCCAGGGCCCCATGCAATGTTTTCAGGTGCCCCCTCTTCCGCCCACCCAGCTCAACCACGCAGTTACCACAGTGGGAAGATGGTCCCTTTCCCAAGCTTCCAGAAAAATCCCCAGGGAAGCCCTCTCATCAGGTCACACTGTCCATCTCAAACCAAACACTGTGACCTGGGAGATGTCAGGCTAGGATCCCACATCCACCCCTGGAGGGGAGGTGGCTCCCTCCACATGGCCTGAGCCTGGGATGGGAGTTTCTGCTCGAGGCAGGCAGAGACACAAGTGTTCATCTTAGTCCACAGGGAAGATCCGGTCCAGCCTCCTTTGTCCAGTAGGAGAAAGGGAGAACAGAGAGGGCCACCACCAGGTCCCATGTCACACAGCATGTTAGAGAAAGTGCTGGGACCAAACCAGGTGGGGTCTGCTCTTCAACAGCTGTGTGACCTGGTGCAAGTCACGCCCTCCAGGAGCCTCCTTCCCATCTGTTTTGGGGTGATACCTGCCTTACAGGCTGTCTGAGGATGAAAGACCTCCCTTATGAAGCCTCTAGCACAGTGCTGCACACACGGTGGGTGTATGATCAGGGTTATCACAGTGGCAGTTATTGGTCCAAGGGGCCATGTCCATGGCCAACAAGGGGGTGGGTAAAAATCCAGAGGAAGCAAAGCCACGTCTCGGGACAGGCACAGCTAGGTTGGAGGCTCTGGGCAGGAGCAGGAAGGAAGTGCCGGCCACACTTGCTTGGTCTCTGGTCCCTGCTGGGTCCCACAAGGTTGTGTCCAAGGGCCCAGCGTTGCGCAGGCTGGGAGCGAGGGTGAGGGTCAGCGGAGGTCTGAGAGGCAGACCCAGGCTATAGAGCCACCCCAGTGGTGCACCTGAGGAAGGAGCCTGGCCAGGCTGAGGACCAGGTGAAGCTCGAGGGTCAGAGGGCCTGGGTGGGAATGCTGGTGCTTCTGGACACGGGTGGCGACCCCAGGCTGGCTGCCTCACCTCTCTGAGCCTTGGTTTCCTCTTCTGTAAAACAGGTAGGGTTTAGGGTCCTGGGACTGGAGAGGCAGGTGGTGACTTCACCCTGCGAAAGTCACCAACAACCCTGAGGAGAGGAGCTTTGGGGAAAAGTCAGGGTGGAATGCAGTAAGAGGGGACGACAACTCTGGGGAGAGGGAAAAGGCCTATAGGGACAAAGGTGGGATCAGGAGGAGCCACAAGAGAATTCTGTATGGGGGTGCGGCAGTGGAGGGACAGCAGTGTCCTGGAGACACAAGGGTGGGAGGGACCAGGGCATGGGGACAGGACATGGGGGTGGTGTGCACCCAGAGCTGGTGGGCAACACTGTGCAGGGCACTGGGGCAAGCTGCTGACCCCCTCAAGCAGTCCCTCCTGCTTTAGGCCCCCCAGGTGATCCCATAGCCTGTGGGAATCCTCACCAGCCCGCCCATGCCCAGAGCTATGTCTGGTATAAGCAGGTGCTCAATATGTGCTCACTAACTGACCGTGGTGCCCAATAAATGCTCACTGACTGTGGTGCCCAACAAGTGCTTACCAACTGCAGTGCCCAGTGAGCACTAACTGGATATGTGTGAGGTCTGTGCCTGCTGGCTCTGAGGGGCTGTGGGGGCCCTGCCTCCATCCACCCCCCCTTGTCTTCTAAGAAAGTGTCCAAGGCACTGGGAGCAACCGCAGTGCCTGGCAAATGGGCAGGGGCTGTGAGTGTCTGGGCACCCTGGATCTGCCGATGTCTGTCCTGCACCGGCACAGAGTTAACAGCACATTGGGGCTTCCTTGGGTCCACACTCCCCACACATGGTCAGCCACCCCTCCCAGGACTCACACTGCCCTTGTACAGTCCTCTCCCAGATGCTCACAGGCCTGGCCCTGTGACTGGCCTTAACCAATGGGACACCCACAAATGTAAAGCCAGCAGAGGCTGGATACGCACTTCTCTGTGGGGACTGCTCCACAGCACCCAGCCTCCAACAGAAGCCCAGGCTGGCCTGCTGCAAAGGTCACAAGGACGAGAGCCTGACCCATGTGGCTGCCAATACAGGGAGCAACACAGGTCACAGGCCACCTCTGACTTGCCAGCTGCAGTCAAGCTCTGATGAGTGCGACATGAGTGGCCCCAGGTGAGACCAGCAAAACTCCAGCTGTGCCCAGCTCAACTGCAGAATCGTGAGCAGGCAAACTACTAGTGGGGTGAGCCTCTGGGTTTTGGGAAAGTTTGTCACGCAGCAATAGTGGACTGCTGCAATGCAACCTATCACTGTAGCCTGTGCCCTCTCCATCACCTGAGGCACCACCTTTACAAGAGGGGAATGCAGAGATCAGAGGGGGAGGGGCTTGCTCAGCACCACACAGCAGGTCAGTGGTGGAGCTGGGCAGGTAGACGCTGTGTGGGGCTCTGCCTGGGAGAATGTGTGTGGGAAAGCAGGTTGAGGTGCATGGCAGGGCCAGGAGATGTGGGCCCCCCTCCGTCTTGTGGGGATCAGGACAGAGCTTGTGGCCTGCATAAGAGGCAGGAAGACAGTGGAAAGAAAGCAAAGGAGAAGGGCTAACAAGGTCCCCCAGCAGCAGAGGAGGACACTCAGGGCCTGTGGAGCCCCTCCCCCCACACCCCCCACCCCAAGCCTATCCTACAGGCTGGTGAGGAAACCCAATGGTTAGACAACAGGCCCCTGCTTGGATGCTGAATGGGCAGGTTAGTTCAGAGCACAGAGAGGTTCACGGCTGACCTCGGCACTGACCTGGGTCGAGAGGCCGAAGGGCCTCCAAGTCTCCTCCGGAATCAGGCTGAGGAGGGCGGAGGCAGTTCCTCGGGGCTGGAACAAAATGTGTGCAGCACCCATGAGGCAGAGACCAGAGGCTATGAGGCTGCTCAGCTGGGCTGCAGTGTGGGGTTGGGTAAGACTCTGGTCCCCCAGGACCTCTGGCCTGAGCCTCAGAGCACCCTCTGTAAAGATGGGACCAGCCACCCACTTCAGAGGCCACGGCTGGGACTCACTCACGCAGGACTGGCTGCTTCAGCCCACGCGGCTTGCAAAGGGATCTGCGGGCAGCCCGCAGGCTGCTGCTCGTGTCCTTCAGAAGCCCATCACGCTTCCACAACAGCAGGCACAAGCAGGGCATTTGAAAGCACTTTGGAAACCATGAGTTGCAAGCAAAAGCTGTGGCTTTTGAGTGAACTCTGGTCCTGACTGCCAACACCAACCTGTGGCTGAGCAACCAGATGCCACCTCTCCTTGAAGGAAAAAGAGCCCAGATAACCCGTCACGCTACCCTTAGAGGGCAGACGGGCTACACAGCCATTCTCACATGCTCACAGCTTTGCTCCTGACAACTCTCACATCTTAATTATCAGAAACAGCAATGCAGATGCTTTTTTTCTTTCACAATGCCTAGTGGAAGACAGGCATGTCAGAATCCCAACCTGCGGGAGCCAGACACATCCCAGGGCAAAGTGATGGCTTATGGTATGTGCGTGTGTATTCAAATATGTGTTTATTAAGTTACCATGAAAACAGAAAAAAGAGCAACTTTAAAAACTCTCTCCCCAGTGTGCAAGGACTCTGAGGGTTTCTCATTTTCAGGTCATCTGCTCCTCAGCTCAAAGCCTCCCTCAGTGAGGGGAGAGCAAGGCCCTGCCAACTCCCTGACCCCAGTTCCCAGTGCTCACCCACTCTAGCCACCCCATCTACCCATATTCCTCTAACAAGCCTGGCACATCCAGCCCCAGGGCCTTTGCCCTCACCACCTGCCAACTGGAACTCTGTTCTCTGGCCATGTCCATCTGCATGTCATTCAGGCCACCTCTTCAGAGGGGCCCCACATCCCTTTGCATCTTTTGCAGCATGTCTGAAATGCTCTTGCCTGTTATGTGTTTACTTGACTGCTGTGTGTCCCCCTTTGAGCCTGCCTGTCTCGGTCACTGCTATGTCCCCAGTACCTCGCCTGAGGCCGGGTACAGCAGAGCACGGGATCTGGATGTTGAATGACTGAATTCTCCCACTACAGACGCCAAAAGACAGGAGGAAGCCACCAGACACCGTGAGACGAGGAGAGGGAGTTTTCTAACAAGAAGCGGCAGTTCCTGGCAGAGCTGGCAGATGGTCCTCACAGCGAGGAGGCTCAGAGCAGGACAGCAATCCCAGGAGCTACCTGTGGCCCTGCACGGTGGCGTTCATGTGGTCCCGGATGCTGATGGCCTGTTTGAGCAGCCCCTCGACGCTGCGGAAGTAGACACTGCTGTCGACCAGGTTCTTCACGGCACTGCAACAGGAGGATGATCTAGTCAGCTCCAGTGTGCCCCTGACACCGAGGCACTAGAGAAGCCTCCCCAGGGCTTGGTGGGGCACCTGTATGGGCTGGGCACTCAGCAGACACCTCGGTACCATGGGCTTCCCTGAGGGCTCACTGTGGGCTTGAATCTTAGATGTCCCTGTAAATTTCACTTCACCACTGCTGAAACAGCTAAAGCATGTGAAGATGGTCTCCAAAACATCTGGCTTTCCTCTTAGATAATGCATTCCTCCTGAAGGAGCCTATCGACTCAACAGTTAGAAGCTCTAAAGGTGACTTTAGACTGAACCAGGGGAGTTCACTACCAATCAGGGGTGCAGGACTGCAAAGCTGCACTAAGTTCTGCCATTGGCTATGTACAGATAAAAGTCTAATGAAAACGTCCTTTCCAACAGCGCTACAGAAAAGTATTTACAAAGCCACTCGGGGCCTTGCTATGCCAAAAAGTTGCCTGTGCAACATCATCTGCGGTAAAAATAGAAGTAGCACCTTAAAGTCCTTCTATTAAAAACAAAAAATCACTCCCACTTATTATCAATCAGGGATGTGCTTGAAAATGACAGATCACGGTTAGAGTGCAGCCTCATAACACCAAGGTCACGGGTTTGGATCCCCGAACCAGGTACCAGCCAGCCACCATAAAAAAGAAAAAAAAAAGGGCAGATCAAACAGGACATTAGCTGTTACCCTTCCAACGAGGTTAAATAGTCCTGGGTTCGATCCCAGTGCCATCCAGAAGGAAAAATTTTTTTAAAAAAAACACAAAAAACTAACCAAGTTAAACAGGCCAACTGGCTTATCCAACGAGGTTAAATAGTCCTGGGTTCGATCCCAGTGCCATCCAGAAGGAAAAATTTTTTTTAAAAAAACACAAAAAACTAACCAAGTTAAACAGGCCAACTGGCTTATTCACTTTCATTTCTACACCCGTCAAAAGGTGGATCTTAACTCACTCAACTGAACACCACCAAACGCTGCCGTTTCTCTCCTACATGACTGCCAACCTTGATAAAAAGCTCACTAATATAAGCTCACCATTCCCCAACTGATATACCATTTTAACACCAATTTTACACCAGTTTTTCAACTTTACACCAACAGTTAACACTACTTAAGGCATTCAAAACAACTAAAAGATAAGGGATCTTTTATGTCCATACAGAAAAAAATTAAATCTTTTAGCATTAGAGATTCACATCTCACTAGAGAGAACCATTCAGAGCTCAGAGTACGTGGGCCTCCCGCCTGGCCCGACACTGACCAGCGTAGCTCTCTGTGGTGATGGAAACATTCTCAATCCACTGAGATTGAGGTGCTGAATATTTCATTTTATTTCATTTTAATGGGTTAAAATGTCAGTGTGCACAGCCATCTGCAGCCTGGGCTCCCGCACTAAAGGGCACAGTTAGAGAAAGCTGGAGAAAGTACAAACTCTTTTTTAACCTTGGCCTTGCTGATGAGCTTAGTGCTGCCTGAAAGTCATTCAGCAGCTGCAAGAGAGAAACTCCTATATCTTTTCTACTCTTCCTTGAGCTAAGAAAGACGCCATCTGTCTGGTCACCCTCTGTCCCATCAGACAAAGCAACACTCAGGTCAGTGCCCCCGGCCACTAGACTTCTTGTCTAGGAACCTTCGCCCATACAACCAAACGGCAACAGGTGGGCAAAACCCACAGTGTCACATCACGATAACTGCTGGGGAGCATCTAGCCTCCACCAGAATGACCCACAGCTTGCACCAGAGGCAAACAGCAGGGCTACATAAAGTCACTAAACTCCCAAGGCCACCAGAACAAGACTCAGCGTTGCAGTTCCAAGGAACTCAACAGAAGTACAGAAGGCAAAGCTACAGCAACAACAAAAAAAGAAACACCAGCTACACCTGTTCACCCTTTCCCTTCAAACAAAACAAACAAAAAAACCTGACTCTAATTTGCTAAGTTCTCGCCTTCCCAGCAAAACCTGGTTTGCCTATGAAGTGAACCCTCTGGAAACTTCCATTCACTATGAATGGAAAAACTCCATGCTGGCCACTTCCTCTTTGCAACCTGAAGATTTAGAGAAAGTTAAACAAAATCAAAAATAAACAGCCATATTGTGCTTTGGTCCTCCCCTGCACCGGCCAGTCTGGTACCTCCCAGAATCCTCACCACCCTCTCCCATGACAGAGGGGGAGGGCTCAGCACCAGGAAAGGGCACAGGCTGGGGCTGGAATCTGCTGTGTGGACAAGTGAGTCACATGCCTCCATGTGGGTGGGTTCAGCAGGGCAGGGCTCACCAGCTGGGAGGCTGCTGAATGCCCAGGATGCCCTCGGCAGTGGGGAGGCTGTGGCTCTCACCTGCAGGCATACTCCACGGTGTAGATGGCTCCCTGGCTCTGCTCCTCCCACCGCTGCATGTCGGCCTGTGGGTTAGGGGGACTCTTAGCAAGGGAGGCTGCTGCTTGGAGGTCCCTTGTCCCAGCTCTCTTGGTTGGGCTCCTGAGTTCTCACTGTGTCCACAGGGGCCTTTCCCCCTGCAATTCCCTTCCCTCATGGGTCTGGGTTTTCTTTCTTTTCTTTCTTTCATATTTGGTGGCTGCCTGGTACAGGGATCAAACCCTGGACCTTGTTGTCATCAGGGTCTGTGCATCCTGTGAACACCTGGCCTGGCTACCATACCTTAGGGCCTTTGCAGGGGCTGTTCCCTCTACCTGGGACACCTTTCCCCCCTGTGGTCACACAGCTGCCTCCTCACCATGCAGGTTATAACTAATACAGATCTTGCTGTCTCCTTCAAAATTAGCCAGATCTGTCCACCCCCAGCCCTGATCTTGCTTGGTTATCACATGCCTCCTCCCTGATGTCCCGGTTTTGACTCCTGCCCCAACAGCCCCTACTCCACCCAACAGGCCCCAGCTGAAGAGGATCTTGGGGGAGGTCCACCGCAGGGGTAGGCCCCAGGGCTCACCTTGTGCTGGGCCAGCTCAGGCAGGGAGCGGCGCACGTGCTCCTGCAGCCGGTAGAGGGCCACAGAGGGCTCGTTGGCCAGGACATAGATGCTCTCAGTGAACTTGTCCGTGACTGGGTCCAGGGTCAACAGTCAGCATGGTGGGGGGGAGGGAGAACAGGCGGGCAGATAAGCAGACAGAAGCATTAGACTCCTGAATGCTCAACCCGTGAGCCCAGCAGAGAGGAGCATCTGGTGTCTCCCCCAGAAGGTGCATTATCCACGGCCCCAGGGAGGGGCTAGAGGAGATGCTCACAGCAGAGCCTCACTCAAGAGGGCATTAATGCATCCAGTGAATTCATGATCTTTCCCCTCCCAAACCCACTTGTAGTGGACACTGCTTCCGCCCACACAGATCCCCTTGCATGCCTTTTATCTCAACGACCATGCCTGGGACTCTTCATCAGAGAATACCACAGGGCCCAAAAGTGTCTGGAAGTTTACCTCCCTGGATGGCCCTCGGCCATGACTGACCAGTAAGGGATACAAAAGCCTGTGTGTTTGCCACACATTGAGTAACCTGGAGGTGTAACTCATCCCCAGGAGCTCCCCTGCAAGAGCAGGCTGAGGCCATCCCTTGCTCATGCTTCTGTTAAGTTCAATGCACACAAATCCTCACCCCAGGGTCTGCTTTAACAAAGTGTGTTCCCAGCCAACCAGTCGTCCCTGCTCTGCCTATCCTAGATCCTGTTGGTTCCACTGGAAAACAAAGCCTAGATCTCATCTGTTCTATATACTGCTCTGCCCCAGTCCAGGAATGGCCCTCTCCAGCTTGGATGCCAGACTCAGCTCCTTCTTGGTCTCCCTGCTTCCCCTTCCTATTAATAGTCAAATCTCCATGCAGCAGATGAACACGAGACAAATGTTATCAGATATGTCCTTCCCCTGTCTGAAACTCTTCCATGGCTCCCACCTGCCAGAGAATAAAATCTGTCTTTCTTACCACAGCCCTTAAGGCCCTGCCTGTTCTGGCTGCTGCTGACCTCCCTGCCCACCATGCCCTTCGCCCCTGGCTATGCCCTTGACACTCCCAGCACTGTCCAAAAGAACAATGATGGAAATGTTCTAGGATCTATATCGTCATATAGACCAATATGGTAGCCACTAGCCACATGTGGCTACTGAATAGTTAAAATGGGACCAGTATGACTGAGAAACTGAATCGTTAATTTTAATTTTACCTAACTTTAATCAATTTGAACTGAAATATCCACATATGACCAGTAGCACAGCTCAGTTCTGTACACGTTGCCACCTCAGGGCCTCTGCACCTGCTGTTTCTTCCCCTGAGACAACCTTCCCCTCCTGGCTCCTCTTCATCCCTCATCTCAGCTCAATGTCACCTCCTGGGCAATCCCCACCTGACCACCAAGCTTAATCAGATGTCCCCTCCACTTCATTCAGGACCTCAGCACCTTGTTTGTTTACCTGATACCTACCACAATTTATTAGGTTACATGTTCACAGAAAAAAAAAATTAAAGGTTGGATTTGTGGGAGGGGGCTTCTCTGAACCTCAGCTTCATTGTCTGTAAAAAGGGAATGATAATAGTACACACCTGGAGGTTTGCTACAGAAAGGGATTTGGAGCTGGCCGGTTAGCTCAGTTGGTTACAACGCTGTGTTCATAACACAGGATCCCCACACTTGCCAACCACCAAAAAAATTAAAAATAAAAATAAAATATGGATTCAATGTTATCACCCAGTGTGATTGCGGAGAAGAGAGAACCAGGGTATGTCTGGGAGTCAAGGGAGGCTGTGCAGCAGTCTGTGCAGCTCATGGCTGTGCCCTGAGTGGGGCAGAACCCAGCCTGCCACCTCCAAACTTTATGACCTCTCACCATCTCAGAGTAAACCTTTCAGGTTTTGAAAGCAAGCATAGTAGTAGTTTAGTATTAGGCCTCACAGTCAGCTTAACATAAGAACATCTGCTACTCCCTCACCCTGTCGCCCTACCTCCTCTCTTTCCCTAAAGCTGGTGCGTTCAGATAAAAACATCTTGTACGAAGCAAACAAAACAAAACAAACAACAACAACAACAACAAAAACAACGGCAAAGTCTTTATGGAATGCTGAGTGCTCAAAATAGTTGCACAACCCCCTCCCAAACAAACCCCATAAAGCCTCTGCTAGTCTGCAGAGGGCAGAACATAGCTCTTTGAGTTTCCCCTCCAGGATCGCTAGAGAACATTCCCTCCTTGATAACGTGTGGCTCAGAATCCTTTATTCTTTTTGTCTCGCCGACACCCCGGGGATTTTACGGAGGGGGTATTAAATGTATTTATGCCTCCTAAATAATTAACTGAAAGTAACTTGTGGAATAAGATAACAAAAACATTTATGACGTAAGAACAGTCTGTGACAGTGCATGCAACTCGTAAGTACTGGGAAGTTCACGCAAACACACACAAATAAGCACACTCAAAGACCGGGAGGCAGCCCACGGCGACGGCCACGCCCCGAGCTGTCCCAACGCATCACAAACACACGGGGTGGATGTCATACTCCTCGTTCCGCAGACGACACAACCGAGGCGCGGGGATTTCCTAAGGTTTCGAAGCCGGTCGCCGGTCCGCCGGGCCCTCACACTCCCTCCGCGCCGCCGCCACGCCGCCCTTACTCCTCGTTCCGCAGACGACACAACCGAGGCGCGGGGATTTCCTAAGGTTTCAAAGCCGGTCGCCGGTCCGCCGGGCCCTCACACTCCCTCCGCGCCGCCGCCACGCCGCCCTTACTCCTCGTTCCGCAGACGACACAACCGAGGCGCGGGGATTTCCTAAGGTTTCAAAGCCGGTCGCCGGTCCGCCGGGCCCTCACACTCCCTCCGCGCCGCCGCCACGCCGCCCGGCGTCCGGCCGCCCCTCCGCGAGCTGCCGCCCACCCCCGGGCTCCCGCACCCCCGTCCCACCCGGGGCCCCCCACCACCTTTCTTCCCCTTGAGCTGCATCTCCGGTTCCTCCATAGCGATGGCGGCCCGCGGAGCCGGAGGAACGTGACCGGAAGCCCGCAGGTGGGTTCTCTGCCTGAGCCTTCCCTGCGGAAACTGGACGCCCCACGGCTCCAGTTCCGGTATCGTTGGCCCGCCCTCTCCCTCCTCCGTTTCTGTCAATGAGAGATGGAAGGGAAGGAGGCACACCGGCGGGCGGGCGAAGACGGGGTGGAGGTCCCCTGAGGCTCCAGGAGAAACTTTTCCCAGGGCAGACGAGTTGGGGGAACGCTCCACTGGGGTACGAATAAATGCCTTCCTTTACCCCCTGCCGCCACCAAATTCTTGCATGTGCCTATAGGACTGCAGAAAGAACGTTAAGGAAGAGGACGGTAAATGGTATGTCGCCCCTTTAAATTCCAGAGGCCCCGCCCACTTCTCCCCGCCCATCACTTCGAGAAATCCCCTCCCATTCGCCCAAGGCTGGGTTCGATTGGCTCCCTCTAGAAACACCTGTCGGCGGAGTTGGACTTGTGGGGACCCTCTGCAGCCCCGCCCGTCCTTACAGAGCTTCGGAGAAAAGAACGCGCAAACGCAACTGCAGGGCTCCGGCGTAGCGGAAGCCACGCCCCTCCCCCATGACTTAAAGGGCTAGAAGGAGCTCCTACTGCTCGGGTCCTTCCGCACTTTTGGGGGGCGGGGGTGCGCAGGCGCAGTGGGGGAGCTCTGGAGTGGGGGTAGCGGTCGCGTATCAAGTTGCTCTCTGTCCCCACAGAGGAAGCGAGGACGCTGAGGTACCAGTCTTCAGCCTGCTCCCCTTGTATACATTTCAAGAGAAAAGTTTGTTAATCGGGCCCCCAAGTTTTGGCGGACCTGCTCTTGCAGCGCGAGGGGACAGAGGAGGCTCGTGGGGAGATGAGTGGACCTCCTGGGTCGGTTTGGGAAGAGCGGGTGGGACTGGGACCAGTAGCATCTTTGTTAAGCCCTCACTCATTCGGGGACTCTCGCCCCCAAATAACCACAGCGAACATTTATTAAGTCTGTCCTTGTCAGGCCTCCTGCTAAGCTATTTACAGACGTGGTTTCTGGGCCGGGCTGTGGCTCACTTGGGAGAGTGTGGTGCTGATAACACCAAGGCCACGGGTTCGGATCCCTATATAGGGGTGGCTGGTTAGCTCACTTGGGAGAGCGTGGTGCTGACAACACCAAGTCAAGGGTTAAGATCCCCTTACCGGTCATCTTAAAAAAAAAAAAAAAAGTGGTTTCTTTTAGGTCTCATTTTCCCATTTTATTGAGTAATTGAGGCTTAGAGAGCTAAAGTCACGTGCTCAAGTTCTCACAGCCTGTAAGTGGGGGGTTTGAACCCAGACAGCTGACCCCAGAGCCCTCGTTTTTAATCATTGCATGTTGCAGGTGTTTGGAAGAGCGGGCATGAAAAGGAACTGGACTCTGGTTTTACTTTCCCTGCTCTTGCAATTAACCTGAGCCTCAGTTTACCCACTCACACGGTGCATGCAGTCGGTGCCTACTTAATGAGCGCTGCTCATTACTATTGTCATTTCTTCCTTTCTGGTGCTTCCCCCAGCTTCCCTCATGGAGCCCACCCAGCCATCAGAGGACCTCATCCGGACCCAGCAGCCACCTGCCCCGGAATTTGGGGACCCTGAAGACCCCGGGGATGAAGCCCCCGATGGCTCAGATACTGTGGTCCTTAGTCTCTTTCCCTGTACCCCAGAGCCCGGGAATCCTGAACCGGATGCCAGCGTCTCCTCACCGCAGGGTAGGATACCTTCTCTAGGATTGGCCTTCTGGGATTTGATGATGGTGGCATGTTGGGCCTGAGATGGGACTTCTGTCTTTATGGCCCTGTACCTAGGACATGTCTTCCCTCTCCACCCAGGGAGGAGTTGCATTTTTTTTGTTTTGTTTTGTTTTTTACTATTTTGTATATTTTTGAATTGTAAATATAAATAACAGAATAATCACCATTTAATCCAGAACTGCAGTACAAATCAGTGGCGTTCAGTACATTCACAGTGTTGTTCAACGATCACCTCTATCTAGTTCTAGAACATTTGCATCATCCCAAAAGGAAGCCCCATCCTCATGAGTAGTCACTCCCCACCCCCTCTTCCCCAGCCCCTGGCAACCACTAATCTGCTTTCTGTCTCTATGGATTTGCCTGTTCTGGACATTTCATATCAATGGACTCACACACTGTATGGCCCTTTGTGTCTGGCTTCCTTCACTCGGCGTGATGTTTTCAGGGTTCACCCACATTGTGCTATGTGTCAGTGTGTCTTAGTCTGTTTTATCTTTCTGTAACCACAGACTGAGTAATTTATAAACAACAGACTTTTATTTGGCTCATAGTTCTGGAGCCTGTAAGTCCAAGATCGGGGGTCACATCTTGTGAGGGTCTTCTTGCTGCATATGACATGACAGAAGGTATCACATGGTGAGAGAGACAGCCAGTGACAGACACTAATCATCTCTTGAAAGTCCCACCTCTCAACACTGCTGCATCGAGGACTCAGTTTTCAACACATGATCTTTGGGGACACATTCAAATCATAGCACATTGCTTCATTTCTTTTTATGGCTCCATTGTATGGATACAACACATTGAGTTTATCTATTCATCCCTTGATGGGTACTTGGGTTGTTCCCCTTTTGGCTATTATGAATAATGCTGCTGTGAACATTTGCATGCAAGTTTTTGTCTGTGCACCTGTTTTCAATTCTTTGGGATACATACCTAGGAGCAGAATTGCTCGGTCAGACAGTAATCCTGTGTTTAACTTATTGAGGAGTTGAGCAATTATTTTATATGTGTGTGTGTGTGTGTGTGTGTGTGTATGTGTATAGTTGTTTTGTTGTTGTTTTTTGTTTGTTTTTGGCGGCTGGCTGGTCTGGGAGTCCAAACCCTTGACCTTGGTGTTACAAGGCACCTAACCAACTGAGCTAACCAGCCAGCACTGAGGAATTATTTTTGACTGGAATCCTTGAGTGCGTCTAATTCAGGCCCTTCCAAGGGCCTCTGTCCTGCCATTTCCTCTGTCCAGAACGTGCTTCCCACACCTCTTCCTATGGCTGGTTTCTCCAACCTGCTGAGATCTCGGTTGATGTTGCTGCAAAAAGACCCTCCCCTGACCACCTTGTCTAAAATAGACTAACCCCCTGCCCTCTTTTCTTTCTGTCTTATTCTACCTGCTTTTTAGATCTTTTGAACACTTATTTCAACTTGAGGTTTTTATCCTCTTTCTCTATGTCTGATGCACCCACCTGCCTGTGGTCTGCTTGAAGGCGGGGGTTTTGTCCTGTTTGCCCAGAACATCTCCAGGCACAGAGAAAAAGGTGCACCCCAGGTATCTGAGAGAGTGGCATCAGTGAATGGTGGAGTCTCAGGCTGTCTTTGGTAGCTCCATGCCCCCCAGGTCTGTCCTGAAGCCCCTGAGACATATACCAAGGGGAAACTGAGGCCCTTTCTCTCTCTCCCAGCAGGCAGCTCCCTGAAGCATTCCACGACCCTCACCAACCGGCAGCGGGGGAACGAGGTGTCAGCCCTGCCAGCCACCCTAGACTGTGAGTGGCCCCATGGTCCCCAGTGGGGGGAAGGATAGCAGTCTGAGAGGAGCAATTTTGGACAGAGGGTAAACTGAGGCACAGAGAGGGGATGGAACTGATGAGGACTCTGCCTCTCTCTGGCCCCCAGCCCTGTCCATCCACCAGCTCGCAGCCCAGGGGGAGCTGAGCCAGCTAAAGGAGCACCTGAGGAAAGGTGCGTGTCCACATGCCTGTGCTGGCATGTCCACGCCTGTCTGGTGTGTGTGTGTGGGTGCTGCATTGCCCCCTCACGGTGCTTATATGACCGGTGGTTGTCCACGTGTGTGCAAGCGTGTTGTATCCATCTACATGGGGCTTCCCGCCACATCTGTCCCCAGCCCCCCTGCCCCATCCCTACTCTGGTGGCATTGGGAAAAGCGAGCAGGGGTATAGCCTGGTTGGTACTGTCTCCCCTCCTCACCAGGTGACAATCTTATCAACAAGCCAGATGAGCGTGGCTTCACCCCCCTCATCTGGGCCTCGGCTTTTGGAGAGATTGAGACTGTCCGCTTCTTGCTCGAGTGGGTGCGTCCCAGCCCAGTTGGGGGGCTTTCCAGGGATTTGTGGGCGGGCTGGGATCTAGGCTGTGTCTGCTGGTACTTTGTCTGTAAGATGGGGACCTGAGGATTCCGGGGGATGCCCCCACCCCTCCGTTACTGCCCACTCTGGACCCGCCAGGGTGCTGACCCCCACATCCTGGCCAAGGAGCGGGAGAGCGCCTTGTCACTGGCCAGCACAGGTGGCTACACGGACATTGTGGGGCTGCTGCTCGAGCGTGATGTGGACATCAACATCTATGACTGGGTGAGGCACCACCCACCCCGGGCACCTCGTGGCCCTCTGGCCTCCATTCCTGTCCTCATCTATCAAGCACCTGCAGGATGCCAGGCCTGCTCTGGATGCTGGGAATGCAAGACAGCCCCATTCTCCAGCCTCACAGAGCTCCCAGATTGGGTGAGGCAGACACATAAACAGGCAGTTGAGATGTAGTGAATAGTGCCATGATGGCAGGTGCACAGGCAGCTACAAGAGCCCAGAAACAGCCAAGGGAGGTCAGGGAGGGCTTCCTGGAGGAAGGGGCATCTAAGCTGAACTGCAGAGAAGATAGATGGGCCAGGTGATAAGCAGGAGGAACCACATTAAATTGGAGGCCAGAGAGTACAGGGTATTGTGAGAATCAGGAAAAGATAAACTGTTGGTTTCCCCTGCCCCACCCCCAACAGAATGGTGGGACGCCACTGCTGTATGCTGTGCGTGGGAACCACGTGAAGTGCGTTGAGGCCTTGCTGGGTGAGTGGGAACAGAGACTGGCCCCAGGGCCCCAGAGCTCCACATGGCCCTGTGGGAATCCTGAGGGCCACAGAGGTGTCCAAGCTCTGCTTAAACAGCTCTTGGGACAGGTGGTCACCACGTGCTTTTTTCAGTGGATAAATTTGGGTGTAAGAGGTGGTAGAATAGCATAGGGGACTGGGTCTGGGGTCTGGCCAACAAGGTCCCATGCCTCAGGGACCCTGGAGCCACATTCTTTGGAGGATACTGAGGCTCGGAGCAGTCAGGCTCTTGTCAAAGGCCACACAGGCAAAGGGCGGAGCTGTGGCTGTACTGTGGGGGGATCACTGCATCTCCCAAGTCTCCAGGCCCCCTTCAGTAACTGCTCTGCTTTACAGCCCGAGGCGCTGATCTCACCACTGAGGCTGATTCTGGCTACACCCCAATGGACCTTGCCGTGGCCCTGGGATACCGGAAAGGTCTGCCTGTGTCACTTGGGGCCTGAGTGATGGGTTGCCATAGGCAGGGTGACCACAGGGGGCACACAGGATGTCCTCCTCACTGTCAGATGCTGGCAGCAACAGTGTTCATGTTAGCAGACGTCCATGCCACTGTGTACCTGGCCTGGGCACAGCCCAGTCTCAGCTCTCGGGGCTCCCCATGTGCTGGGACAGGGAGGCCAATACATGTTGGTGACCAGGTGACACGCAGGCACTGAGAGGCCCAAAGGAGGCCCCAGCCCAGCCCTGGAATGGGGGATCAGGGAGGGCTTCTGGGGAACCAGAGGGGAGGGAGGATAGCATTCAGTTGGGAGGACCCACACACAGAGCTGGCAGGGTGAGGAAACCAAGAGGGAGGTGGGCTGGGCCACAGTGTGCAGGGCCACGGAGCCAACCCTCTCAATGGTGGGAGGTGGGTGTGAGCAGGGGCCTTAGGCAGTCCCCAGCTCGATTGCATGCTTCCCCACTCAGATGGGGCCCCAGCATCCCCATCCATAAAATGGGGAGATCCTAATAGAATCAACTCCCTGATGTCAAAGGTGAATTAGGGGCTCCCGAAATATCTCCCCCTGTTCCTTTGGAGAGTTTTATTACACTTGGGACAGAAATCATTCCTCATAGTCTCTTGCATCTTTTCATAAAAGTCACAATTTTCCAATTTTATTTAGTAAGAAATATTTTTATCACTCTGAAAAGCCTCAAAATAATGCATTTTTACAAACTTATGGAAAATTGAATTTCCTGGGATGGGGTCTCGGTCTTCCCAGCTTTACTCTGGGAAGGGCGTGGATTCCCTTATCTATAAAGTGGCTCTTCTCTCCAGATCCCAGGGCTGGGACACCCCTGTTTGTGTCCCAGAGGGAGGGTGCAGCTTGGCTCCACAGGCCCCATTTAAGCTCACGGCCCACCTTCTCCCTGCCCCATCTCCAGTGCAACAGGTGATCGAGAACCACATCCTCAAACTTTTCCAGAACAACCTGGTGCCCAGCGACCCTGAGTAAAGGCCACCTGCTGGGGACTCAGACACTCAGGGAACTAAACGGTCAGCCCAAAGCTGGGGGAACCCAGAACTGGCTTCAAAGGCAGCTCCTGGACAGGTGGTGGGGGGTACCCTTCCCAAGAAGAACCAATAAACCTTCCATGTAGAACTTGAAGGACTTTGCTGTGCTTCTGAGGCGGCCACCCAGAGGTCTCACACCTTCTCCCCCAGCACCCGCAGGTGGTAGATGACCACGCGGCCAAAAAAGTCATTGGCATCCTCAAACGTCACCTTCAGCCGGTCCACCTCGGCAGCCGGCACAGGGAAGGTGTGAGCAGGGGCAGTCAAGGGAAACAGGTAGCTCCATAGCTCCTCATTTCCCACCTGCCAGCCCCCTCCCTCCCAGACCCAGGCTGCAGCCCCGGGTCAGACAACACCAATGTGCTGGGTGACCCGGGCAAGCTGTAGTCCCCTCTGAACTGCTCACACAGAGCAGGTGATCATCAGTGCCATTGTACAGATGAGGCAATGGAAGCCTAGGGTCACTTGTTCAAGGTCACACACTAGGGTTCCCACACAGATCTGGGTGGGCCCAAAGCTTTCAGAGGCACAAACCACCCCACCCCAGAGGCTGCGGCAGGATATCTGAAGCAAGTTGTTGTCCTCAGGGTAGAAGTCCACAATCTTGCGGAGAGCCTCACTCCCCTGTGAACCTGCATCAGAGAGAGAGGGGCAGACAGTGAGTCTGGGGTGCCACCTCAAGCCCCCACTTCCCAGGGTCTCCCAGTACCTTCCAGGCAGCCCCGGCGACTGGAGAAGCCCCCCTGGAACTGGATCTTCAGGTCAGAGACACGGATGCGCTGGGGAAACTCCAGTATCACCCACTGGGAGGGGCCCTGGAAGCAGAAGGGAAACCTGAGGCCCATGGTCATTCCAGGATCAGCCCTGCTAGGCACATCTCTCTCATTCAGACGGTCCGTGGGGGGGCGGGAGGAGGGGGAGTTCAGCACACATTCCTTTCCTGGCCACCCGGACTGTGCCCAACTAGGACCCCCCAAAGTTCTCAAGGCACCCAAGACCCCTGGATCTGATTCACACGAGGGATGGAGGGTCCGGGGGTGCATCTCACCTGGTCCGAATTCCAGCACGTCTCCTCGTCCTGGTCGAACAGATGCTTCTTTCCAAACTGCCGGGTGTTGCGATTCAGCACCGAACTCACCCTGGAGGCACCGGGATCAGCGCGAAGAGCCGCGGAGGGGCCGCCCCCAGCTCGGTCCACCGAGGGCTCCAGTCCAGCCGTGGGCCGCCCCTGCCCATCCCCGCGAGCTCTCACCTGCACGTTGTCTCTGGACAAACCAGAGAGTGGGTCATCTCGGTTCCACGAGACCTCACACGGTCCAGCGTTGGGCTCAGCCCGGGTTCGAGTCCACAGGCGGCGCAACCTCGGCCTCGGCCTGGACCGGAGCCGCCGCTCTTGCCGCTGCAGCCCTCGGCGTGACCACGGTCGCCGCCTGCTGGAAAAATCGGGGTCGGGGGAGGGGACGCTGCCAATGACCCGGTCTCAGGCCTTCCACAGGAAACAGCTTCCCTGCGGGGTTCGGGGGAAGTCGCTCCCCGTCCGAGCCTCAGTTTCTCCGCGAGTAGCTCTGGGAACCAAGAACAGGGACCCGGAACCGCGTGAGCGCGGCGCGTGCGCACTGTGGCTCAGGCCCCGCCGCCCCACCCACCCGCCGCTCTCGGGAGGGGGCTTTCTTTGTCCCCGCCCCTACACCGTCAACTCTTAAAGGGCCCGCGTTGAATGATTGCGTTTCTCTAGGAGCTGAAGGACAGCGGCTGGCCGCATGCTGGTCGTGGTCCCTTGGTGCCCGCGGCGTAGAGCCCTGATTTTGGAGTCCGAGAGACTTCTTACAACGATGTTTACCTACTGAGGGGAGTCTGCCGAATCAATTCCCTAATTTAATGCAGCCTTGGGGACCCCTGTACCTGTCACTGCCTCCCAGAGGCTGGAGGGATAGTTGAGAAAGAGGCCCTGATGTTGGGAGGGTCAGGCGTCCGCATCAACCCCCCTGTGTCCTGACTGGAGCACAGGAGAGCTGGCCTCCAAATCTGTCTTCACAGAAAATGCTGCCTGGGACATCAAGCAAGTTTTCTGGGTGGAGAGGGAGTGCAAGGTGGATTTTGAAGGCTGAACAGGAGTTTGACAAGCCAGATTACACAAAGCCTCAGATACCAGGCTTAAGATTTGGTCACTGATTCACTAGGCAACTCCTGCCACCCTATACTGTCACACCCTCGTGCCCAGACATGTGCTGGGTGATGCTGGGGACAGCAGGAGGCCTCAACTGAGGCCTCCTCCCTATCCCTGAGGAGCCCCCAATCTGGGCAAAACAAAGCCAGACACAGACACTCCCAGACCCATGGGGTCAGGGCTGAGCCAAGGGAGAGAATGGGCAGGAAGAGCAGGGGCTGTACCTGAAAGAAAGGCTTCCTGGGAGAGAGAATATTGGACCTGCACCTTAATGTGTGGGCAGTTTACCAGGGTAAGAAAATCTGGGGTAGGGAGGGTGTTCCAGGGAGGCAGAATAGCATAAGCAAAGGCCTAGTTGGGCAAAAGACCATGAATTTAAATAAAATATGTGGAGACATATCCCGCTGGGCCTGGAGCAGTTACAGAAGGTGTTTGAGAAAGGGGGGACACCATCTGATCTGCATGAATGGAGGGTTCCAAGACAGAGCAGCCACTGGCAGGAGGCAGTTGTTCCTGGCTTTAACTGAATGATCTGGGATCCAGCCCCTTTCTTCAAGGGCTGGCATCCTACTAGTGTCTGCCCAAGTCTGCCCCAGGAGTGGGGGCTGGCCAAGAAACTGGGTCACCAGCGGAAGGGCTGCCTCATCAGCCCCTGCCTGCCAGGACTTTCTGCATTCAATCATGGTCTGGTGCCATCCAGATCCAGCTTTGATTGTCTAAGGGCTGGGGCTGGAGGTGGCAAGAAACAGCTCACCCCAGAGGAAGTCAGGAAGAGCACGGATCCTGGAGGGCCCAGATCCGGTTCTAATCCTGGCTGGACCACTCACTGGTTGTGCGACCTTAGACAAGCATCTTGACCTCTCTCTGAGCCTCAGTTTCCTCATCTGTGAAATGAGGGGATTCTATTTATAGGACTGTTGGAAGATTCAGTAGGTTATTTGGGTTGACACATGACAACAGTGGCTGTCATTTGTTGAGAGCCCACTATGTGTTTGACTTGAAGCCACATTTTCTCTCCACCTGTTGGCTTGTTAAACCTGCACTGGCTGGTCTGTGTCAACCCCATTTTATAGCTGGTGAGGATATGCATGGCCCCAGGGCCCTCCACACCACTCCTTGGCATGGGGCCGCCTTGCCTACTGGAATGAGGCCAGCTTCGTACCCTCTTCCCGCCTCCTCACCCCACTGGCGCCTGGGCATGAAAGAGCCTCCTGTTTCTCCAGGGAATTAGCAGCTTTGAGCTCCCAGAAGGGCAGCCAAAAGTGGTCCATTCATTCACGTAAGTGGAGTGACTGACTCCCTCCCCTTACCCCTGCCTAGGGAATGGGGCAGAGAGAGCTGTAGAAGGACCAGGAACAGCTCCTCTGATTTGCTGGGGGAAACTGAGGCACAGAAAAGCAAAGTCATTAGCTCACTTGGTTAGAGCATGGTGTTGGTAACACCAAGGTCAAGGGTTCAGATCCCTGTATCAGCCATCTGCCAAAAAAAAAAAAAATTGATAGAAAAGAAAAGTCATTTAGCCAAGGTCACCTAGGGGGACTGGATGCAAACCACAGTCTAACTACCGAGTTTCTTCCAATGGGCTGAGTTCTGCATTTTTCATGGGAGAAATTGGAGGTTTAGAGAGGGTCAGGGATTTGCTAAAATCACACAGCAAGTTCGGGTCAGCGGGGTCACTCTGCATCAGCTGCTTCTGGGGAAGCAGATCCACTATGCAGAAGACAGGTCCCACTGTCCATGAGTCTGTCATTCAGAAGCAGGACAAGGAAAGGCTGTCAGGTGGCTTCCAGCCTCAGTCCTCCCCCCGATTGAGGACTGGGTATAACGGTTGACTCAAAGTGTTAGCTTAGGTGTCTGAAGGGCAGGGTGTCTGAAGGGCAGGGTGTCACAGGATCCCCCAGGTCTGGAGCCCCGATTTGGGCAGGTCTGGGTCTGATTTATCTGTGAGGATCTGCCTGGGTCCAACAGGGGCTGGCTCAGAGTAGACGCATGCTCACTCAGTGCCAGATGGGCTTGGTGGTCCTGGGAGGGTGCAACCCTGGGGGTCCCACTGGAGGTAACAGTGGGAGTGGGAGGGGGTGGCCGAGCATGAAAGGTCTGAGGTGGGCATGCATGGGAACACCGAGCTCTGTGTGTGTGACGTCCTGACAGTGGCTGGGGCATTGTGAGTGTTGGGGCACCGGTGCGAAATGAACATGGTGGTTCTCGCTACCTGTAGGTGTGCTCACGGCTGTAGATGGGCTGGTGTGAGCAGCACAGGCACACGTGGGCTGTTTGCTCCTGGAAGAAAGACAGAGGTGCGGTGGGTGTGAACAGCAGCGGTTGTGTCTGAGTGTGAAAGGACTTTAGATGCAGCCAGGCTCACAGCTGTGAGTTTGGTTGTGCAGCAAGTGTGACTTGTGTGTGACCTGGCTAGTTGTGTGGCCAGGTGTGGTTGTGTGTGATGGGTTAGATTTGTATGTGGCCTGGCCGAATGTGGTTGTGTGTGGCCAGGTGTGGTTGTGTGTGGCCAAGTGTGATTTTGTGTGTCTGGGTTGTAGCTATGTGTGACTGTGTGTCAGTGGTTTCTGGTGACATAGTATGCGACTTGTCCATGTATCACCTGGAGTATGTTTGGAGGCACTTCAGGGGACACTGTCCACCCTTGAGACCCAGCTCTCCAGGAGGGTCCAGCCTCCCCACCTCTGCTCTGGCCCACCAGCCCCCTCCCCCACCCCTACCCACCAGCACCAGCCCCCAGCCAGGGCCCCAGTGTGGGGGGGACAGAGATGGCACTCAGAGCTATGGTGGGGGGCTTGCCCAATCCCAGTGCAAGCCTATAAATAGCTCTTTGAGCCCAGAAGATTCCCAGGCAGGGTCGCCCCATTCAAGCCCCCAGCAACAGCCTGCCCCCGGGCCCTGGGCCAGCCCCTCTCAGCTCAGCCCTGGCACCAACCAGGGAGACCAGGCGGAGGAGAGGAGGGGGGAGTGGGGGGTGGGGGTAGTTGTGGATATGGGTCAGCTCAGCTCTATTGCCACAGACCTGGGCTCCAACGTGGTCTCTGTGCAGCCTCAGGCAGTTGGTCCATCTCCCTGAGCCTCAGTTTCCCCAGCAACCTGTAAAATGAGCAGCAGTGATAGCAGCCCTGCCCTGTGCATTTACTTCCCATTTCACTCTCCCAGCAACCTGAAAGGTGGGGACTGTTAAGTATCCCCATTTCAGATGGGGAAACTGAGGCACAGAAAGATGCGATGGCTCACTCAGAATCACCGAGTTAGGAGTGGCAGGGAGGGGGGTTGAACCCTGGACTTGTGGAGGCTGAGCTGCTGTGTTCTCAATCCACATCACACAACCACTCAGCCCGTGTCCCCTGCCACAGCCACAACCACACCCCCCCCACACACCGGGTTGGCTGACCAGTCATCACACGCGGTTTAGGTGCTGGTGACTGGCTGTGACCACAGGGACTCACATCAGTTGTTACTCCTGACCTGCATCTTTCCTCTGTGACACAGAGTTGGACATTAAGTTCAGCTCCCTGCTGTGTCCTGTTGGCCCCTAGGGCTGCCCCTTGCTCCCCTGAGGTCTTCCCTCATTCCTCATTCATTCTTACCCCCTCTTTGATAACCTCAGGGAAACTATCTTGCCCCCCCACTAGACTAAGACCCACCCTCAGAGATGCTCACCACACACACATAGATGCAGGACACGCAGCCTCGACCAGCACAGAACAGTCTCAGCGCTGAGCCACTAAGACCACAGGAAGGAAGCCGGTGGCAGGAGTGGACCTCTCTAGGCTCCCTCCATTCCCATTTTTTTATTGTGATAAAATATACGTAACATAAAAGTCACCACTTTAAAGTGTACAATTCAGGGGCATTAAGTACATTCACAGTGTTGTTCAGCCATCACCCCTAGTTCCAGAACGTTTTCATCACCCCCAAAGTAGTCACTCTGCCCATCAGCAGTCATCCCCATTCCCCTCTCCCAGCCCCTGGCAACCTCTAATCTGCTGTCAGTCTCTGCGGATTTGCCTGTTGTGGACATTTCATAAAATGGTCATACAATACATGTCCTTCTGTGTCTGGCGTCCTTCACTTGGCATGTGTTCGAGGCTCATCCACGTTGTAGCATAGATCTGTGCTTCAGTCCTTTTTATGGCTGCATAATATTCCCTTGTATGGATCTAGGCTTTTAAAGATTGGGGTCTTCCACCAAGAACAGCATATGCCCTGCCCGAAGCAAAAACATTCCTGCGCCAACAGTACCTGGTCCATAGCATGTGCTCTGTAAATGTTGATCACACAGAGGTGAATGAATGAATGAATGAATGAAACTTTCTGGTTGGAGCTGCTGGAAACAGCTCTGGGGTGTGACACATCTGGGACACACCCTGCTCTGGTGTCTCTTACCAGCTCTGTGGCCAAGTGGTCTTCCTATCCTTACCGAACCTGTTTCCTCTCCAAAAATGGGTTGAACAGTAATGGTAGCCCAAACTACTTTTAGCGTGAGCCCTGGAGAGTCAGGGTTTGAATCCCAGCTTTTCCCTCTCTGCGTGACCTTGGGAAGCAACTTTGCCTCCTTGGGGCTCAGTTTCCCCACCTGTAAAATGGGACCGGCACCCTCAAGGGGCGCGCTGGGGACATTTAACCTGGCTTTTGGGAAAAAAAGAATGACGGGGGAAGTCAGGTGCGGTCTTCTCCTGAGAGGGGTATGTGTTCAAAAAGCAGGGGAGGGGGCGGATTTTAGGCCGGGGAGCATTCCCTCTCACGCAGCCGGAGGCCTCGGGTGGCGGGGCGCATGCGCAGAGCAGCCCCGCGGCCCCTTTATAAGCGCTGAGACGGCGGCGGGGCGAGCGGAGCGCAGGGCGCAGGGGCTGGACCCAGCGTGGAGTGAGCTGAGCCGGAGCGTCCTTTGTGCCGGGCGGCCGCTCCGGGATGCGTCCGAGCTAGGAGCCAGGTGGGGGGTCCGTCGTGGGAGGGGGCCGCGTTGGAGGAGAAGGCTCGGGCTTAGAGACAGAGCTGGGGATTGGGGAGGGCCTGGATCAGAAGGAAGCCCCCCGCGTGGGGAGGGGTCATGATGGCGGAGGGGAGCTCCGGGTTGAAGAGGGAGCGCAAACTGGGAGGGGGCTTGGGAATATCAGGGGGACACGCATTTGGGAGGAAGGTTGTCCGGGGAATGCAGACAATCGGAGACAACCCCATGGTGGGGAGGGGGCCGGACTGGGGGTGGGTCTCAGGATTGGAGAGGGGGCACTGGGAACCAGGGCGAGGGAGGGGCACCCTGAGTTTGGACAGAAGAGGAGGACACCCACATGCTGAATGGACTCCAGAACAGGGCACCCCCGCGTCTGAGCTGAGACACCCCAGGATTTTAAGTGGGGATTCCCAATTTGCAGATGAATGGAGGATCCCGGGCTGGACTGCAGTGGGCAGGGGTTCCCCCAGGTCATCCTGAGCCCAATGGAAGGGGGTCTGCGCTGAGAGAGGAAAGGGATGCCCTGGCGTCTCCCTGTCCTTTGGGGGCAGGTCCTGTCACCACATCCTGACTCAGGAAGGAGGCTCTGGGAGGCCCCATCCCAAGGTGGTCCTCTGTTGTTCCCTTAAACCTGGAGTTCAGGTGCTGTCTCTTTTCCCACGGAGCACACTGAGTGTCCCAGGTGAATGCGGGCTGGAGGGTCTCCTAGAGCCCCCAGTCATGAAACCCCAGGACCCGGGAGGGACACCAGCCTGGAGAGGGGGGACCCCAGCGCCCCCACATCTGCCCAGTTCCTTGCAGCGTGACAGATGCTTACTTGACCCCCTTCAGTCCCATCTGTCCGTACAGATGCTGGAGGAAGCTCTGGCTTGGTTTGGGGACACAGGCGCGGGGAGGTAGGGGGCTGGGACCCCAGGCCCAGCCTGGGCAGGAGCAACCCCCATTCCTACGCGCGCGGGGCTTTGTTCCTCTGGCAGCATCAGTGGGAAACAGGCAGGCTGAGGAGAGGGTTGGCGCTGGGCCCCAGCGGGAGACATGGGGGCGGGGTGGGGAGGGCAGGGGGGGCGCATCGTGGGACCCCAGAACCCAGCAGTCTCGATGGCTCGTGGACATTCCCAAATGGAAGCCCCTCCCAGGAGGTTGTCTGCTCCTGGCAGGCTGCGGAGGGGTGTGCACAGAGGGTCTGGGGGTTCCCTGTGAGTCTGATGTGACTGCGGTTGTGTCTTTGTCAGAAAACTTGTGCCGAAGGCTATGTCACCATGTGGCAAAATGATGTGTGCCCATCAGTCACCAAGGCCACATTTATCTATCCCGGTCTGTGCCAGGGGCTGCCATCACCGTGTGTAAGTGAGCGTCAATGAGGAGCTGTGTCTGATGGTGTTTGGTTCATTGAGGGCTTTATTTGGGGGGGGGGGCCAAGTCTGAGTGTGTGTGTCTTTGTGCAGAAGAGTGCTGCCTGCCTTGTGAGTGCCTATATTGCCTCTCTTTGTTAATGTCACTGTGAATCTGTGCGAGCGTGTGCCTCCCAAGGTCTGTGTCTGGGGTGTGTGGCTGTGGGGGGGGGGGGCACGGGTCTTTTCCATGTGATTGGCGGTGTAGAACCTGGGCATGGGGGTGTGGAATGTGATCTATGTGGAGCTGAGGAGCAAATGGGGGAGAAGTTGGGCAGGGGCTGAGGTCCTCAAGGGGCATTCTCAGATGATTTACTGAGCCCGATTTCCTTTCTCCTCCAAGGAGTTCCACGTTCATGCTAACGCACACAAATACAGCCTCCCTCTCAGGCCAGAAACACGCACGTGTGCACACAGCCCTGCTCAGACCCATACATCCGGAAATCACACTGGGTCCCACACCTGCACACTCGACGCCCACACACCACAGAGTTCAACGCATGCACACCCTTGCTGGACACAGCACCCCAGACGCACACCCAGTCACAAAGATGCAAAAACACCCGCTGGCAAACTCACACTCACTCAGTGCCCACCAAGACAGGAGGCGAGAGTGAGGGTGGGGAGACACACACACTCACACTGATCCAGACCGCCCCTCCCCCAGCGCCCTGCAGGCCCCTACTTGCATATGCATGAGGCTCATGCATTATTCACGAAGGGACGGGACCCAGACAGCTGTGTAAATGCTCACCTCTGGCGGCCCTGGGAAGGAGGTATTTTAAGAGCAGGGTGTGGGTGTGTGAGGGTGTCAGTGAAAGGAAGTGGGAGGATTGTGTGTGTGGGGGGGTGTGCACCTGAAACCGTGTCTGTCACCATGTTGGGCCACCTCAGTATATTTTTAGTGTGTACATAAGGCTTTGTGTACCAAGAGCTGTTTCAAAATTTAGCGTGTCTAGGACTTTACAAGTGTAGCTTGGCTCATTTCATCCTCACAATAGCCCTATGAAGTACATAAAAGTTCATTTTGTGGGGGGGGAAACTGAGGCATGGAGCAATGAAGCAAGTTGTGCAGAGTACCACAGCATGTAAGGAGTGCAGGGCTCGAAGCCAGGTCATCCGGATGTAGTCTGAGCTCTTAACCATATGATATGTGTGTGTGTGAGAGAGAAAGAGGGAATTCTCTGGCCTCACCCCTTCCTAAGGCTCTGCTGGTAGGCACAGCTTGGAGTCCTGTCCCATCCTTTAATACCCAGCCAGGCCTGAGACAACCATCAGAACTCAGGGTTCCAAGGTGGAATGAAGAAAGCCTGGGATGGAGGCGGAGGTTACTGAGGTTTACAGGTAGTATTTGGAGACACCGGCCAAGGGCCTGGCTTCGAGTTCTGCCCTGCTGTGCATCCCAAGGCAAACTGCTAGCCTTCTCTGGGCCCGAGGTGCTGTGTAAGCAGACAGGAGGCCAGGGCAGACCAGGTGGGCAGTGCCTCTGCTTTGTCTTGCCAGAGTTCAGCACCACGGACAGGTCCCCCCAACCGAACTCTCAGCCTCTGGGAGCTGGGAAGGAGGGTGGATGAGGGCGGCAGATGTCCCCCACAGCCTCCCATTCTGGACTCCATCCACACCCCCTCCGCAGGGCTATTCTTTTATGTAGGGTGGGTTTCAAGAGCTGGGTTCGCAGATGATGTTCTTTTTTTTTTTTTTTTTTAAAAGATGACCGGTAAGGGGATCTCAACCCTTGGCTTGGTGTTGTCAGCACCACGCTCAGCCAGTGAGCAAACCGGCCATCCCTATATAGGATCCGAACCCGTGGCCTTGGTGTTATCAGCACCGCACTCTACCGAGTGAGCCACGGGCCGGCCTGCAGATGATGTTCTGATTTCCCATCTGCCCCATCTCCTGAGCCCTGGTAAGGGGGGCTGCAGAGGAGTGGGAGGCTTTGGGGAGGGGCCACCTCCTGGAATTTCTAGTGTCTTGGAGAATGTGAAGTGTGGAAGGGCACTGCCCTCTCTCAGCGCCTGGAATGGGCTTTGCTCCCCATAGGCGTTCAATAACTGTCCACTTCATGCCCATGGACCACAGCCCCAATAGAGAACCCACAACTGAAATTTCTCCGTGGGTCTAGGAAGCATTTTCACCAGGCTGTGTGAAGTCAGAGAGAGGATGGGGTGGGCAGGGGTGAGGTCCCTTCCTCCAGCTGGGACTTGGCAGCTCCTCAAAAATCCCAGAAACCAAGAATAGAATCTTGGTGACAACCAAATCCTGGAATTGAAGCTGAGAATCGTGTCAGTCAGCAAACCCAGATTAAAGGACTAGCTTGGAGCCCAACCTGCCTGGACTGGGGACCCTGGGAGGACTAGGGCCATTTGCTGCCCTCTAGGAGCCCCCAGTCTGATGAGAGAGGCTGACTTGAAAAATGGGATTTCAGCCTTGGCTGTGTTGAGGTCAGTAATCATAGTAGCAACAGCTGAAATGTACTCCTTCATGCCAGGCAGTTCTAAGTATTTTATGTGTTGACTGATTTGTCCCTTCCAACCATCTGATGTTATCCCCATCTGACCCATGTAGAAAGTGAGGCACAGAGAAGTCAAGCTACTTGTCCAAGGCCACACAGCAAGGAACAGGAAGAAGCCAACCCCAGGTCCAATTCACTCCAGCACTCATGCATCTGACTATTAGGTTTCACTGCTCAGATTCTGAAGTCAGGCAGCCCTGGGTTTGAATTCTGGCTCAGCCCTTCCTTGCTCACTCTGTGACCTTGAGTGACACACTGGCCTCTCTGCACCGTGTTCCTGATCTGTAGAGTGTGGGCATTTGGTCCTTCCATGCCTAACATCTGGGAGGGTTGTGCTATGGTTCACCCCTCCCTCCCTTTCCATTTTATTCCAGGTTGAGGATGGGGACCACGTCTGTCTGGGCTTTGAGCCTCCTTATGTTCCAGATACTGCTCTTTGTGGCTGGGGAACAGGGTGAGTTGGCTGTGGGAAGGGAGAGGTTGGGGTCTGGGTGATTAACAATTTGGGGCACCTTTTAAATTCCAAAGCCTTCTCCTGCTGGTGCCCTGGCTTGGTCTGGAAAATGAGAATAGATGAAAAAGGTCTTTGAACAGTCAAAAGCGAACAAGATACCTGAAAGGTTATTTTTAGTCATTGCTGGCAGAAGCCGGAGGTTCCCGCCTCTCACCATTTTGCTAAGATGAGCTGCAGAGAGAGAGACAGAAAATAAAAATAGTGCAGAGATTGATTAGTAATGTCTGCCAGGAGTGGGTAGAGGGAAATAAAGGTCTGTGTGCCTCTTCTGGCATCCTTCCAACGGTGGTCAAGAGCCCAAGCTTTAGAAATCCCTCACTGATTTGCTCAGTAGCCTTAGGCAGGTACAGTGATCTCTCTGAGCCTCATCTTCCTCAACCCCCCAAAGGGAATGAGACATTGCAACCTCTGCAGATGTCACAAAAACCAAATGAGCCGTTTGCTGAAAAGTGCTTATTGTAAAGAAGATACTCTGCAAACAACACTTCCCTTCCAATGGCTGCCTCTTGGTTAACTTTGGGGGAAACCAAGGCTCAGAAAAGGAAAATGATTTTCCAATGGCCAACACTGGGGTCAGTGGCACCAGGAGTCAAACCTCTGTCCCTATAGAAAGAGGCCTCCAGCATCTGGATTTTGAATGGAGGCAGAGCTATGAAGGGATTCTACCCCATTACTCCCCTTCCACCCCAATAAATCTCACAGGTTGGGGTGCAGATCACAGATCTGTGCATCACATTGTGCCACTGTGGCCTCAGTCTAACCTCTGTAGCCTCAGTCTCCTTGTCTGTACAGCAAGGGATATACAGTCCCTGCTGGTCTTTGCCTCTAAGTTAGGCCCTCTCTTTGCCCTTTCCACCCCAGGCACACAGGATGCTGCCACCAGTGAGAAGGGGCTTCATATGCAGAAGGTGGGGTCTGGGCCAGTGCGGGCTGCACTGGCGGAGCTGGTGGCCCTGCCCTGTCTCTTCACCCTGCAGCCACGGCCAGGTGCAGCCCAAGACGCCCCTCGGATTAAGTGGACCAAGGTGCGGACTGCATCAGGACAGCGACAGGACTTGCCCATCCTGGTGGCCAAGGACAACGTGGTACGGGTGGCCAAGGACTGGCAGGGGCGAGTGTCGCTGCCCTCCTATCCCCGGCGCCGAGCCAATGCCACGCTACTGCTGGGGCCTCTGAGGGCCAGCGATTCCGGGCTCTATCGCTGCCAGGTGGTGAGGGGCATCGAAGATGAGCAGGACCTGGTGCCTCTGGAGGTAACAGGTCAGTTGGGGGCAGGGGAGGGTCCAAGGCTGGGAGGGGGAGGGGCTGAGCCTGAAGCCCACCCATTGAATGTCACCTTAGAAATCACTCTCTGAACAAGAATTCTCCTTTAACTCTTCTGAGAAAGTCACAAAGAAAGCCTCCACCAGTATTACCCTGCCTTTAACATCTCTTTTAGCCAAGAGGGAGCAGCCTCCAGCTCAGTCTACTGTGGGCCACAGTAACTAAGCAGATTTTATAACTTTGCTTTAAGTCCATTTTATGGTTACCTGATTTTACATAAGACAAAAGACATTGACTTTTTATTTAAAATAGGAATACAAATTTCCTTTTTTTTTCGTGGTTGGCCGGTCAGGGGATCTGAACCCTTAATCTGAGTGTTATAACACCATGCTCTAACCAACTGAGCTAATCAGCCAGCCTGAAATTTCCTTTTCAAATAAATTTATTTAAGCTTTTCAAAAGTGAAGCTATTTTTTAAAAGTCCATTAAAAATATATATTAAGTAAATAACAGTTCACAAATACCTGTTTAGCCAATTCCTATATTAAATTCTTTCTGTTGAAATAGTCAGTGTAGTTTCTGTTTTCCTAAGTGATCAAATGATTAAAGTCTAGAACAAGGGCTGGCCAGTTAGTTCAGTTGTTAGAGAGCAGCCTTATAACACCAAGGTCATGGGTTCAGATTCCCGTACTTAGCCAGCTGCCAATAAATAAATAAATGAAGTCTATAACAGTATCTAGCACACAGTAAAGATGCTCATTAAAATTGTAATGTATGACTCAATAAATGGATTGCTGTGGACTCCTGCTGGGAAATCTATTTCCCTTAATTTATGTTGACCTTGAGCAAGTCCCTGTATCTCCTATAATGGGGCTTAATCTCCCCCCCCAAACTGCAAACTGGGGACACAGTGTCTCACCACATATATTATGGGGTCAACCAATCATCCCCTTCCAAAGGCCTCACTTCTCAAAACCTAAAAAAAAAAAAAAAAATTATGGCAAAGAAAGTGAATTCCACCTCTGAGTCGGTTCAGTTTCATTCATTCAGCCAGACATTTTCTGAGCACCTACCATGTGCCAGCCCAATGGTGAGGGCATATCCAGCAGCTCCTGGTCTGATAAGATGGAGCAAAATGTTTAATTCCCTTGTCTTGCTCAGCCATGTCTTTCCTTTCTAAATCAGCATCTGTGCCACAGGGAGCCTGTGATTGGTGTTTCACATCCTGGCTTATAGGTCACCTCCTCCAGGAAGACTTCCAAGACCCCGTTCCAAGGCTAAGCAAGAACCACATTTGGTCTCCCACTGCTGCCTGGGCTTCCACTGTCAGTGCCTGCTCTTAATTCCTAAAAGGCAGAAGCTCTCACCCTTCTCCATGCCTCCTGCCACCTCCAGGACCTGACTCTGGTCAGAGAGTGCTATCTTCGGAGTCAGATCTTCCTGGATTTAAATTTTCACTCTGCCTCATACATGCTGTGACATGTCCTGGACATGTCCTTCAAACTTTCTGAACCTTAGTTTTCCCCTCTGGAATAATCATAGGGTTGTTATAAGAGTTCAGTGAGATCCTGCTTATAAATGCTTTTCACATAGTAAATATTTGACTAGCTCTAGCACTTTATGGCCATTGTTATCAATTTCCTCATCTGTAAAATGGGGACATATTGATCTCACTCTCCACCATCACCCTAGCACTGTGCCCAGTGCTGAGTACATGGATATAGTACAGGGCAGAGTAGGGTCGCAGGTCTGTTATTATCACACTGATGTGGGGGAGTCATTCTGCAAGAGAGAGATGTGTTCTTGAAGATTCCAGCATAAGTCACCACCATCCCCCATTCTGGATATTCTCCCACAGGCGTTGTGTTCCACTACCGGGCAGCCCGGGACCGCTATGCACTGACCTTCCCTGAGGCCCAGGAGGCCTGCCATCTCAGCTCAGCCACGATTGCAGCCCCACGGCACCTGCAGGCCGCCTTTGAGGATGGCTTTGACAACTGCGATGCTGGCTGGCTCTCAGATCGCACCGTTCGGTGAGCACACAGGGTGGGGAGATGAAGAGCTAGCCCCTGGAGAAAGAGGATTCTTGGGGGCTCCAGGAGCACACATCTGAGAGGGACCCCCCCTTGTGTTGTCAGGTATCCTATCACTCAGTCCCGTCCTGGTTGCTATGGTGACCGTAGCAGCCTTCCAGGGGTTCGGAGCTATGGGAGACGCAACCCACAGGAACTCTACGATGTGTATTGCTTTGCCCGTGAGCTGGGGGGTAAGTCTGGGGCTGGCAGGACTCCACCTCCCCACCTCTCCCTGAGCCCCTATTACTACCCCCAACACCCATCCCTCCCTAAGTCCTAAGTCTTATCACTCTCTAAAGCTTCAGCCAAGACCTGTGCCCACCCATTCCCTGAGGGTTCCATCCCCGGGAGTCCCTCTCCCTCTCTGCACTCCCTCCCTGTCTCTGAGCCCCGTCCCCTCGCTATATCCCTCTCCCCAGGGCCCTTCCCGCTCTCTGGGCCCCCCTCACCGACCCCCACCCTTTCTTTGAAGCCATACCAGGGGGCCTGAGTTACCTCATTTGTAAACAGAGGCTCTCATTAGCGCTGCGTGAAAGGTAATGACAGCGATGCTCTGGGGACCTGGGCGCACAGCCGCAGTGCGCGTCCAGCTCGCCAGACCAACACCCAAACCCAGCCAGGTCTGGGCTATCTGGAGTGGGACCCCCTTTCCGGGCTCCGGGGGAGGGTCCCCAGGCTGCCCTGACCCCCGGTATCCCCCTCCTCCCCACGCTGCAGGAGAGGTCTTCTACGTGGGCCCGGCCCGCCGCCTGACATTGGCCGGCGCGCGTGCCCAGTGCCGCCGCCAGGGCGCCGCGCTGGCCTCGGTGGGACAGCTGCACCTGGCCTGGCACGAGGGCCTGGACCAGTGCGACCCGGGCTGGCTGGCCGACGGCAGCGTGCGCTACCCGATCCAGACGCCGCGCCGGCGCTGCGGGGGCCCGGCCCCGGGCGTGCGCACCGTCTACCGCTTCGCCAACCGCACGGGCTTCCCCGCGCCCGCCGCGCGCTTCGACGCCTACTGCTTCCGAGGTGCGTGCGGGGCCGCCCCGATGGCCACGCCCCCAGGCCGTGCGCCTGAAGGCCGCGCCCCCGAAGGCTGAGCTTTCCAGGGGAGGCCACGCCCAGGGAACGCGCGCCATGATAAGCCACGCCCCCGGTGAGGGCCACGCCCCTTGAGGCAGGTCCCTCCCTAGGAGCTCCGCCCTGGGGGAAGGACGCGCCCCGGAGGATGCCCAGATCTGGCGAGGGAGTCACAGTGGCCGGTGGGGGCTATAACTACCGAAGTCCTGAGGCGCCTAGACCCTGGAAGACACGCCCCCGGGTGGAGCAGATCCTACCTGGAGCCACGCCCATAAGCACACCCACCTGTTGAGGGGGTTATGGGCCACGTGCCCTGGGCGGGGCCGTACCAGGGGCGGGACCAGGGTTGACACTCGCCCTTGGAGGTGGGTACAGCTTTGGAAGCTGCAAACCTCAGCTCCGAGGAGCCAAGTCCCTTGTGTAAACCTAGCCCTGGGTAGGAAAAAAAGACAAAGCCCTTGGTAGGAAGACCATGCCCACTGGGGACGATTCACGGCTCAGGTCTAGTCGAATGCTTTAAGCTAACCTGACCTCATGAGAATCGGACACTGCCTAAGCTTTGCCCATGAGCCACACTGTCTCTCGACCCCTCACTGCAGCAAGTTCACTCTGATCCTGACAGTGGGCTCAGTCAGACCCATGCCTGAGCAGTGGAGGTAACTTTGCATCTCCCTGTCAGGCTGGGAGACCCTAGAAACCATAAGGAGAGACACAGGGGCAGAGAGGGACAGATGCATGGACGATCTGTGCTGCAGCGTGCTGGAATGTGGGTAGATATCAAGCAGAACTTCCCAGGTAGCCTCTGGGCCTGATGCAGCCTCTTTTGCTTTTTCCCACAGCTCATCACCCCACACCACAACATGGAGACTCAGAGATGCCCTCATCTGGAGATGAGGGGGAGATTCTATCAGCAGAGGGGCCCCCCGTCCGAGAACTGAAGCCTAATCTGGAGGAGAAGAAGGTGGTCACCCCTGACTTCCAGGAGCCTCTGGTGTCCAGTGGGGAAGAAGAGCCCCTGATCTTGGCAGAGAACCAGGAGTCTCCAGAGACCCCCAGCTCTACCCATGAGGACCCTGCGCTGGCCTCATGGCTCACTGAGGAAGTGAAGTTGAGCACGGTGGCCCCCAGTCCCAGCAGCACAGGGGCAGGCACTGCAGCGAGTACACACACGGAGGTGGCCCCACCTGGCCCCACACCTAGGAGGAGGGGGCGCTTCAAAGGTTTGAATGGGCGCCACTTCCAGCAGCAGGAATCAGAGCAAGGGCTGGAGTGGGGCCTTGAGGCCAACACCCAGCCCCCCACCCCAGAGGCTGCTGTGAATCACGTCGAGCCCCCCTTGGCCTCAGGAGCCACAGAGGCCTCGGGGAGTAGCCGGAGCTGGAGCCCCTGGGCTGATCTCACCAATGAAGTGGATGTGCCTAGAGCTGGTAAGTCGGAGTCAGGGGGAAGGGGGCAGTGGGGGATAGATATGGCCACATTCAGGACAGGGGGAAAAGCTATGAATCCCTAATGGGTCTCCTGGCCTCAGAAGCTCAGAATCTCTTCCTCGGGCCTGGAGCCAAGGAGATGATCAGGAGGGGCTGCTGAGAGATCATTATAATTACTATTGTTCATGTTGTTCCAGGTTCCCCTGGTGGCAGAAGCCCCCCAGAGCCCTGGCTGTGGCCCCCCACCATCATCCCACCCAGCCTCCCAGGTCCCAGCAGGGCCCCTGGCCTGGAGCTAGAGAAGGCCGAGGGCCCCAGAGTGAGGCCAACCACCCCAGACCTGCCCTGGTCTCCCTTGGAGGCCTCTGTCCCTGCTCCCAGCCTCTCAGAGGGCCCCAGTACTGGCCCTTGGGGAGCCTCCCTCACGGTCACTTCCCCAGACTTCCCTATGATGGCCATGCTGCGTGACCCCAAACCATGGCTTGTACCACACTCAACACCTGTCCCCACCAAAGCCAGTGAGGTCGGGGGGCATGGCAAGGCCATGGCCACTGCCCCACGCTCCCCTGTCTCAGAGACCGAGGTATATTCCCTACCCCCCTCCTTGGGCCCAACAGGACAGGGTGGAGAGGCAACACCCACAACACTCAGCAGCCACGGAGCAGGAAGTCCCACAGCCCCCTTCCAGGCAGCCACAGACACACGAGCTGGAGCCAGCCCTCACTCCCCCAGGGCAGACTTTGGAGAAATTGGGGGGACCAGCCCTACTCTGCTCAGCCAAGCTGAGCATCCCAGATCCAGCCCATGGGCTTCTGTGGACAGGAACATGACGGCAGATTTTGCCCCCACCAAGACTGCCACTGAGCCCACGGGTGTCAGAAGCATCTGGAAGTCTGAGTCTGGGGTCTCCAACACAGCAGGAAGCCCCACTTCTGGCTTGCAGGCCACCATGGATGAGGATCAGGGCACCTGGCCCTCTCTGTACAGCAAAGGGCTAGACACCAGCCCCCCATCTGCACCTTCAGGGGGCTTTGGAGTCTTCTTCGTGCCTGGGGTCACCCCAAGTTTGGAGTCTTGGGCTGCTACACAAGGAGGAGACACAGTAGACCCCAGCAATGCCGGTGGAATTTGGGAACCTGGATCCCATGTGGTTGAAGGAGCTGAAAGTCCCACATTGAGCCCTCAGGTGGCCATGGATACAAGCATGGTGACATCCCTCATGTCCCTGGACCAGCAGGACAAGGTTGGGCTCATGGTCACGTCCATAGTGGCCTCCTCAAGCTCCCAACCCCACTCAGAGCCGGGGAGGCAGATGGTGGCTCAGGAAACAGTGGGAGCCCCTCTGCCTCTGGGAAGCCCCCTGGGGAAGCCGGCTCTTCCTCCTTGGACATCAACTGCAGCTGGCATGGATGAGGCTACCTCCGTTTTCTCGGGGGAGCCTACTGTGCCGTGGGACTCCCCCAGCACCCTGCTGCCTGTCTCCCTGGGCACAGAAGAGTTTGAACTGGAGGTCCTAGCGGGGAGCCCAGGTGTGGAGAGCTTCTGGGAGGAGGCGGCGAGTGGAGAGGAGCCTGCCCTGCCAGGGACCCCGGCAAATGCAAGTGCAGAGGAGGGTAAGTTCAAAGTCCCATGGCTCCATCCAGCATCCTGCAGTCAGGACTTGGGGAACCAGGGGCTGAGGGAGCCCAGAGCAGGGAGGAAGCATTGTCCCTGGGGGTGTAGAAGGTCTCTAGAAGGGGATGAGGTTAGAGATAGGAGCTCATCAAGTGGAGCTGAATTTCGGAAAGGACGTTCCTGGCAGAGGAACCAGCATGGGCAAAGGCCAGGAGGTGAAGTTGTATTTGGTCTGTTCAGAGCACAGTGATTATGTCCCAATGACCAACATGTGGGAGTGATGGGGCGTTGGGTAGAGTTTGATTTGGGGGATAAGCTTGGTCTAAAAACCACGCCCATATCCACTTTGAGCCAGGCAGTGCTTGTGTGAAGCTGGGGGCTGGACTTCGGAGACTCCCCCAGTCTGGGGGAAGACACAGCTGGACACAGACACCTCCCAGGTGGGACCAGAGGGAGCAGGCGTGGCAGGGAGGGCTTCCTGAACAAATGGGAATTGGAGCTGGAATATTCAGTGATGTGGGTCGTGGGGGCTTCAAGCCACAGAGAAAGTGGGTACTGGGGAGGGCGGGAGTGGTGAGCATCACCCCCATTCTACAGACAGCAAAAAGGCTCAGGGCAGAATGTCACTCTCCAGCTAGTCAGTGTACAAACCTCACCTGGAGCCCAGATCTGCCTGCACCTTAACTGCTCTGTGCCCAGCAGAGCTCAGACAAAGCCACTGCCCTGTTCTCTCCAGGGCCAGGTCTGCCCCAGCTCAGCCTGTAAATTCCAGCCCTTTATTTTCCCAGTCCTGCCACATTAAGCTGGTGCTTTTGGCCAAATGAACTTAAAAAAAAAGAGAGAGAGAGAGAGAGAGAGAAAGAAAGAAAAAAACAAAAAGAAGGCAGCAGCAGGTAATTAAAAGCACTTTTTCTGGGGCTAGCCAGTTAGCTCAACTGGTTAGAGCACAGTATTATAAAACCAAGGACAAGGGTTTAGATCCCCACACCGGCCATCTGCCAAAAAAAAATAAAAAGCACTTTTTCTGAGTTGCAAAACACTTTTATCAACACAATTGGTTTTTAATATGCTTCTTTTTTTTTTTTTAAGGCAACATGTAGGGAAGATGGAAATACCAGAGGCAGTTCCTGTCACCTCTGGGCTGTGTCCTGGGTCAGATCTTCTTTTCTTAGATGCCCAGGAGGCAGGGAGACCCAGGGCAGGGACACATGTCAATAAAGGCTGATGCTTATTAGTCACCGCCTGTGTGCCTGGCTTCTCCTAAGCATGTTACTAGAATTATCTTGGTTAATCTTTATAATGTCTTTGTGGGATAAGTTCTAGTATGAGCCTCACTTCACAGATGGGGACACTGAGGCACAGAGATGTCAAGTGACTTGTACAGTCATGCGGCTAGGGAGTGTCAAGGCTGGGGTGTGAATCCAGGTTGCCTGAAAACATGGTCTCTGTTTCAACCACTAGGCTGTACAATGCTTAGTTAATTGGTGTGAAAAAATACATGACTTCCTGGGGAGGCCATGAACTCACCCAGAGAGGGAGCCAAGACGAGACGGGCAGGTCCGTCCTTGAAGTGTGGACAGAGGGAAAGAGGCTCAATGCCAAGGGAGATAGAGAAGGGTGGCCAGAGAGGCGGGAAGGAAACCTCACAGGGTGCAAAGGAAATAGGGTTTGGAGTTGTGGCTGGGGCTGGGCTGTCTCGGACTTTGCTGAATTCTTGGCTCCAGAATTAAGCCAGGGGCAGAGGGCTGGAAAGAGGTGGCAGTGCTGGGGGAGACCCAGGCGCCTACCCACCCGCTGCTTGCAGCAGAAATGCTAATGAAGCTGAAAATAAACGCGACACCAGTGAACGACTGAGTCACCGCCAGCCCGTGGGCAGGTGTCGGCAGCGCCGGGCACCTAGCGGGGCTCACGCATCCTGCCGCCCAGCAGCCCCACGCCTGTGCACGCACGTGGTGGGCCACACCAGGGCCATCATACGGCCACGGCCCCCACCATCCACAAGCCCCTTCACTCTCCATGGGGGCACATGCCACCACCCCAGGGACAGGCTTTAGCCACTGCAGGAGGACCAGCTGCTACCTTCATTCAGTTAGCAAGCACTTATTGAGTACCTACTATGTTCCAGGCACAGTGTTGAAACCAAATCCCTGTCCTCTGAAAGCTGGCTTCTAGAGCAACGCTCTAGAGCTTTCCCAATGATGGAAATGTTCTCTATGCTGTCTAAGTTGAAACGTGGCTAGTACATCTGCGGGGCTGCATTTTTACTGTTATTTCATATGAATTAATTTAAGCACAAATAGCTATATGTGGCTGCCATATGGAACATCACCACTCCAGGAAGAGATACGGATAAGAAACAGTGATCCTAATAAAGAAGTAAATTATATTGGACGTTAGAAAGTGATAAGAGCAAAACAGAGAAAGTAAAGCAATTGGGGGTGGGGGGTGGGGTGGGGAATGCCAGTGAATGGCTTGCAGTTTTGGAAGGGGGTCAGGAAACGTCTCTCTAACCAGAGGAAATTTGAGCAAACCTGAAGAAGGTGAGGGAGGAGCCATGTGGAGATCTGGCAGAAGAGCATTCCAGGCAGAGGGAACAGCCTGTGCAATGGTCCTGAGGCAGGATGGTGCCTGGTGTGTTGGAGGAACGGTGAGGTCAGTGTGGCTGGAACACAGTAAACAAGGAGGAGAGAGGAGGAGGTAGGGCAGGGAGATGTTGGGGTAGACTGCACAGGGCCCACTGGACTGCAGTTAGGATTTTGGCATTTCTTCTGAGGGCAATGGGGAGCCATGGAGGGATCTAGGCAGAGGAGGGACATGACCTTACTCAGGTTTACATAGGCTCCCTCTGGCTGCTCTGAGGAGAACAGCCTGTGGAGGGAGGAAGCAACTACTTCATAACAACTCAATTTCTTGAGGGGCCCCAGACCAAGACAAAAATAGAAGAAATTCTAGATTATGGGGGCTACAGAGAGTGCCTTAAGCCAGGCTCCTGGAGACCTGGAGGCCAGTCTTGCCTCTTGCAGTGTCCAGTTTTGTGGCCTCGAGCCAGGCTCTGCCCTTGTCTGAGCCTTGGGTTTAGTGTCTGTGCAGTGGAGTGGTCAGGTGCTGCTCTGACAAGAGGTCGGGGTCAGCTGGGGTAGGGTGGGGGTTCTTGCCCTGCCCTTCCCAGGCTCCAAAGGAGGGGTTTCCTCAAGGGGGTGGAGACCACCCAGTAAGGCATCCAGGCCCCTGAGTACGGGAGGGACCCTTCTATCTCCAGGGAAATTCAGCTGGAGAATGGCTGGGGAGAAGGACAGGAACCTTCATTCCTTGATGCCCCCTGGGTGCCCAGTCTCATACTGACCAATGCTGGGACACACCACCCCCTGCCCCAAGAGTCGCCAGGCTGATACAGACAGAGCCAGACATGGCGTTGCAGTCAGGTCTGGGAGAAAGGGATGAACAGTTCTTATTTTCATTTTATAGATGAGGCAACTGAAATTCAGAGAAGTGACTTGCCCAGGGTCCCCTAGTACATGCCAGAGCCAGGAATTAAACCAGACCTCTCTGGCTCTGCAGCTCATGCTTATAACAACTGTACAGTAATCCACCACCTTCCACACTGTAACCACTAAGGTTGCATCAAAAGAGATTGAGCCACCAGAATGAAGGAGGTGATGGTCCCCATTCTCCCCAGGCGGTTCATAGTCCACCTGGAACTGTATATCTACTTCTGTGCCCCAAATTGTGAGAAACACAGTGATGAGCAGGCCATGTCCAGAAGAAGGGGACAAGTCAGGGAGGGAACTTAAACCTGTGTTCTGGGAGAAGACTTCCTCAGAGAATGTTTGGAAGCCCTGGTGCCTAGGGGCACCATTTCACTTCAGTCTGAGAAAGGACTTTGCCACAGGCAGGGCAGCCCCCAGATGCTTTGGGGAAGTTCCTAGAAGGAGCAAGCTCCTCATGACAGGGGACACATGAGAGGGAGTTGGTGACCACCTGTTGGGTAAGTTATAGAGGGGACACCACAGAGAGGGGTTTTATGAGAGGAACTTTAGGGGCCTGAGGTCTGGATTCTGGGAAGGCAAATGACCTGGTGGACTGACTCCTGCCCACACTACCCATCATCCATCCTGCAGCCTCCTCAGATCCCTGTGAGAACAACCCTTGTCTGCATGGAGGGACCTGTAACGCCAATGGCACCATGTACGGCTGTATCTGTGACCAGGGCTTCGCTGGGGAGAACTGTGAGATTGGTGAGTGTCCCAGACTCAGGATCTGAACCTGAACTGTGTGACTCCAGAGCCTTGGATTTTACCCAGTAGCTATATCCTGAGGACTCAGAGATCACAAAAAGCTGGCTTTAGATGCCCCATTCCCATCCCTTGTCCCAGACTCAGGATCTGAACCTGAACTGTGTGACTCCAGAGCCTTGGATTTTACCCAGTGGCTATATCCTGAGGACTCAGAGATCACAAAAAGCTGGCTTTAGATGCCCCATTCCCATCCCTCACTCCTTGAATCCAGCTAAATCAGCTCCTATTGGCTGAACCAGAACCAAACAGCTGAATTCTCCCCCTGGGGGCCGAGGCTCTGGTGTGCTGCCTCACATTACTACCAAGTGGGGGTAGGGAGGGGAAGACAAAGGGATGATATGGCTAAGACTCCTCCCAGCAAAGGGCCCTGGGGGATCCCACCCTCTCCTGGGTGGGCAGGGGTATAGGCACCACCACCAGAACTGTTGGGTGCTAGCCCCAAAGCCCAACGCAGGAAATACTACCAACTATGAAATTGTAACAATAAATATACATGATATAATTTTTTGAACTCTGTGCATCATCTCCTTGACTTCACAGCTTTCACAACCACACTATAATTATAAAATCATAACAGTACATAGAAACGATATAATTTCTTGAGCACTTCCATTGATTCTCCACTCACAACCACCTTTGAGATGGTGCCAGTATTATCACCACTTTGCAAAAAAAAAAAGAAACTGAGTCTCAAGGAGGGGAAGTGACTGGCCCAGTGTCACACATGCTTCAAGCACTATCTACATATGGATTGATAGAAGAGGAGCTCAACTGAATATCCGACTCTGCCTACAAACAGCTTTGCAAGTCCTTGCAAATACCTAAAAGAGCCTCCAGCTTAAGCATTCTATAGGCCTGTTTTTATCTTTATTATTATTGTGGTGGAGGGGCAGCTGGCTGGTACAGGGATCTGAATATAGGCCTGTTTTTGAGAGTATAACCATCACTCCTCTGGAGTCAGGTGGAACATTCTGCACATCCTGGTTCTCAGCTGGCCCAGTGGCATCTGCTCCCATTAATACTAATTTATATTAATTGTGTGAGATTCCACCCCCTTGGCTGCAGAGTCATTGGGCCATCTGTGAAGACCACCAATGCTGCAGTCAGGTCTGGGATGAATGGTAGGATCCTGACCCCATCTTCTGTCTGGTTCCCTGTGGGGCTCAGAGCCAAGGGGAGGTTGACCTCTGACTCAGTCCCTCCCCCTCTCTGCCAGACATTGATGACTGCATCTGCAGCCCCTGTGAGAACGGAGGCACCTGTATTGACGAGGTCAACGGCTTTGTCTGCCTTTGCCTCCCCAGCTATGGGGGCAGCCTCTGTGAGAAAGGTGAGTCTACCATGACCTCGGAAAGATTAGAAGGAATAGGGTTGGGTGCCCAGCCATAGACTTCCCCACCATGCTCCAGGCCTCTGCCAGGGCTGTGAGTCTGACAGAAGGTAAATGATTATTTTTTTAGATAAAATTCACGTAATATAGAATTAACCATTTTAAAGTGTCCAATTCAGCAGCATTCAGTACGTACACAATGTTGTGCAACCATACCTCTAGCTGCAGAATTTTTTCATCACCCCAGAGGGAAACGATGTACCCATGAAGCAGTCACTTTCCAGTCCCCCTTCCCCAGCAACCATTAATCTGCTTTTTCTCTCTATGGATTTGCCTGTTTATGCTGGACACTTCATATCAATGGAATCATATACTGACCTTTTTTTTTTTTTTTTTCCTTTTTGTCTTTTTTCGTGACCGGCAACGGATCGCAACCCNAGTGTCGCGCCCGTACCGGACTGGGACTGGCAACGGGATCGCAACCCTCGGTGTTGCGCTCTCACCCCGCTCAGCCAGTGAGTGGCTGGTCTGTATGTGGGATCCGAACCCTCGGCAGGAGCGCCGCC